GAAAGCACTAGCACCAGCTTTAATGTGTGTCTATAAAGATAAGAAAAATATATTTCCTAAGTCCAGCAGTTTTTGAACAATATATTTTCAAGTTACAGGAATGCTCACCATGAGGAATTTAAAATTGAGGTGAGAAGGGGGGGATAACATTTCTTCTAAAATGTTAATGAGCTACTGCTTTATAAAGTGAAAATAATCAACAAATCTGACATATGAACAAACATTATGAATATTCAGGAAGTTTAAGCTGCTGATTCAACATTTTCTAAGAGTGTACAACTTTTGCACTGATCACATAAACTATTATTTTTCTTTTCATCATAAGTACACTCTACTGCGGTGTCAATGTGTTGTCGTAACATATGCATTGAATTGCAAGTATTGTAATTCATCCAGATGGCAGGAAGCTTTGGAATTGTTATTCCTATGGTACAGATGTTTAACAATCCAGCCATATGGCTCCAATAAGGCAGCCTTTTCAAAGATTACAAAAACTACACTAAACATGCAGCCTTGTAAATTTGAGTGCAATCCTGAGGTATAAATGTTCATATTGCTACAATATAAAAGCATACATCATGCTATGAAGTTGGCATGTCTACTGGAATTACAGATTTTATGAAACATTATTTAAAATCCTGAAAAGAATCAGGTCCCAAATTTGCATAATTTCACCAAGTCAGCTATTAAAAGAACATTCCTTTTTTTTTTTTTTTAAATTCATTAAAGGTGTCAGACATAGGCTAACTGAAAAAATGGGTAAATAGCTACATGAAAATATAATAATGTCCCTAACCCCTGGCCTAAATGACCTACCGCTCTAGGTAACAAATTGAGATTCAACCAACATGACCAAAAATTTCTCTATAAAAAGATTTGTCAAAGTCAAGGAGCCCTGAAGATGGTTGTGGCAATTATAATGTGAAAAGCTGAATATAGAGAAACAATCTGAGATCAGTAATATCTTGACCAAGAAATGAAATAACCATGAAATGGTCAATCTATAACTGTACTGAATTTTGGCAGGTTTGAATGACAAATAAATGGCAGCAAATAAGATAGTTAAATCACTAATCCTGTCATTATTACATCCTGTCAAACTGCATAAATTTATACATTAGAAAAGGAGTGTAAGGTATAGGAGTGAAAAACAAAACTATTAAAAACTAAAATATGTCAATCTATGAAGAAAAGTTGAATTCCCAACTTTGTGTTTCATAGTTGTTCTTTTCTGCCAAAGTGTCAGATATAAGTAGATGCTGCTTGCAGTTCCATCTTCCTTTTCTCTCATGCTTGGGTCTCCTGACCCTTTGTTACCTAAAAGAAATGTCTCTTTTATATAAATCTGTTGTGCAAGAATAAGATTAAAATGGACAGGCTGAACAAAGCATTAGTCTATCAGACAAAAATGTATCCACTTAGTACACAAGGGATCTTTCCACCTGACATATTCTTAAAGGGAAGTATTCAATTACCATCTACTCAAAGGGTAAAAAAATCATGAAAGAGCCAGGTAATATTCCTTTTCTTTCTCCTTTTTTTGAGCAGCAAAGTATTGAGAGATGCTTTATCTACCACAGATACTAATCTAGGCAATATAATTTTAAAACATCCTTACAAAAACCTTGAAGGGCAGTTGAACCCTGTGGTTGTTTAAAAAGATATTTTCTGCAGTTCATGCATTTGCTTTGCCAAAAGCTTACCTTAGCATACAAAGTATAGTAAATCATAGTTGCTCTGATTTACTACCCAGCCTATGCTGCTTGTTCTCAGGGACAGCTCAGTGAAAAGCTATGTCATGTATAAGAACATTTAAAGAAGGGGAATTGTTTTGCAAAACTACCAGAATGGTAGCAACCATTTCTAAGACATCAGTGGAAAAAAAAAAAATGCAGATGTACATTTGCAGCATTTTTCAGGTGGTATTTTTTTAATACAATTACAACCCAAAAATATTCTAAATCCTTTTAGGCACAAGGACAATTTCATACCCAAAAACTGTTTAGCTTAAGTACTAATGGGCTGACAGTCAGATGTATAACAGTCAGATGTATAACAATTTAAATTATTTGACCTTGTGCCTGAATTCCACGTTTTATGGAGCAGTAGCATATACAGATCTCAAAAAGGTGAAGACATTGAAGAAAAGACTGGCAAAGCAAAAAGCTGTGGGTCAACCTGATTATTTAGAACTGAGGGTAGATTTTATTAGACCTAATCCATTTAGTAAGTCTCAACAGGAGGAAAAATATAAAAAAATATATCTGACATTCCTTTAAAAATTAGTAAATGAGAAGGGAAAAGATCAAAACAGTAGCTGAAAGCCTTCAGTCCTGCTTTAAAAGCCAAGAAACAGTCATTAATAGAGATTTAAACTCAGCTTTCTCTAGTCTAAACATGTCACTGTTAATTACAAAGCTATTTAACTTTTTCAAGAAATAAAGACTGCTATTAATGAAAGGAGAACCAATTAGCCTTTAATCTACACACTGTTTTTTAATCAAACTTTCTTTTGATCATCAGACTCACTGCGGGACATATTCTCTCCTCCCCATGTTGTAGTGGCTTCCATGATTGCTAATGGAATTGATTTTAAAGGGCTGGCTGAGTGGGGAGAAGCTCTGCAGGGCTGGAGCTTCTTTCCCTTCATGTCAGTGGGGCTTAGCGGAGGCACACTCATCCCCAAACCATGCCACCCACAGCACTGGCAAGTGGAATGATTTGGATGGTGTCTCTTGACCTCTCTCTTGTAGCAGCTGCCATTAAAAGAGCAGGCACTGAACGTGTCTGGAGGAATGTGTGATGAGTATGAGGCTACCTGGTTAGGAAACAGCAGAAAATACCAATTTAAAGAAAAAAAAAAAAAAAAAGAAACGGGCAAGGGAAGGTAAAAAAAGAGGCAAAAGCAGGAAGGTGCCACCAGGAATTAAAATGGGATTCACTGGTAACTGCGAACAACAATGAATAGGAGAATTTGCTTGTTGGCACAGAACACACTCTGGAAAACCAGACCAAAACTAATGGGACCAGGGTGTGATGTGTTAGAAACAGAAGAGATTACATGAAAAGCATCACATTTGCTAAATGTTGTGCCTTCAAACTATTGGTTGCAGGGTCAGAGAGTTTCAATGAGGTTTTTTGCTTGGATTGTGGACTGGGGTTTTTTTTTTTGCTATGTGGCTACCTGTGGTATCAAAACAATAAGACCAAGTCTCTAGAATCAATCATGATAGAGAACCTTTTCCTTAACATCATTTCCCTCTCAGCTGCACTTGCTGCTCAGATCTCCCAGGATAGAGGAAAGTTAGAAAATGTCCCTGAGGCACACACTTTGCAATTATGACCATGTAGATAATGAAATATAAGGCTGACTCCTGCACATGTGAACAACAGAGAGAATGTAAGTTCTATCTGCACTGTGTTAAACATTAAACTCCTGGTCTGACCAGATACCTGCTGTCTGTTCTGCATTAGCAAAACTTTAGTGTATGCTGTTCTTTTTTCATAATATAAAGACAAAATTTGCCTGGCAGAAGCAGAATTTTTGAGTATTAATACAAAAAAGAAAGCACTTTAAAATAAATTGTTAACATCCTCAAAGAATCAGAAAGTCTGCAGAGATCTCCTGTTGTTGCAACCAGTATGACAATAAAAAAATAAAAAAATCAATAGATTGCAGAGAGAAAAGTGAAAATAAATATGTGCTGTGTCAGACAGGAATTTGAGTCACAAAATTCAAGTTGGTAGTAAAAGTATGTGGAACAACTGCTGAAATTATACCGACACTGGAGAAATTTTAAAGGTAAACACATAGTTAACATAGGAAGTATTTTAGCCAAGACAGTGTTACATTAGATGTTTTTCAGTACTTGAGAAACAGCATTTCACACTTCAGAAGATCAAATCATTATTACTCTCTCTGTAAAATAAGGCTGATTTTTTTCTAATGCCTTATCTCAAAGGGCTGGTAAATTTTCACAGTCCAAAGCCCCATTAAAGTAATTGTTTGGTATAAAGGTCATGTAAAATGAGATTAGGGTGCGTTCATGTTTTTGAGGTGCTCATATATCACAATACAGGTACTCAGATAAAAACACCAACAGAACTAGATAGTAATAGCTTTAAAGCACTATGTCAAGATATTTAAAGTTAGCTGGATAATTGTATCATTTTCACATTTAAATTATTCCATGGCATTCTAAACCTGTCAATAAAATTTGGACTCTGATGCTGATCAAAACCTCCTCGTGTTTTTCTTGCGTCATAATCACATCCTAACAAGACGTAGACAAGAGATCCCCAGCTCCACTCTACTTTTGAGCAAACTGTAGCAAAAGTGTTCTGTCTCAGAATACTTAGAAAGCTGCAATACTGAAAATGCGTGACATTAATGCACAGGACGTTCTTAATTAACAAAGCTCTTAGGTGTTGCTGACCCCTCAGACTGACCTAACACTCCCCAGAGTTTTAATTTTCTTATACAGTGCAATTAGGATAAAGTTCTTCTGACATTTGTGGAGCTTTAAAAGGAGCAAAATTATTGACAGGAATCATGTGAAACACAATGAGATTTTAACTGTCCTTACCTGAAGTAAGAACTTCCAAAGTTATGAGGCAGAAACTTTACACTGCTTCTTAAACTACATAATAGTTTACTCCTAAGAGTGTTCTCAGCACCCCTAATTATTTAACATTAGTGAATATTTGCATAAATTCTCCCCAAAGTAAGGTCTGATTCAAGAAAGCACTCAAGAAATTCCTTAACTCCCTCCCCAATGATTTCAGCAAAATTTTACTTAAATGCTTGAAATGCATATACCTGAAATGACCTGAAATGTTCCGTATCTGCAATTCTGACTGAAATCAGTGCAACCTGAAGGTTCTGAGCAGCTCTGAAAATCAGCCCCTAATATTACTACTGCAATACATCTTTAATTTGTCTACGGCTCCTCCAAAAATTACTTTTAATTGTCACATCCGAATCAAAGCTCTGTACATACGTATACAGTAGTCTCCACTTTCATAATATCCAGGGCAGCACTGAGATCTTCGCCGATACATAGTTCTTAGTCCTCTTCGATATGCTGTTTTATAACTTATTCTAAATTGCAAGACAGAAAGCCATTTGACAATATTGAAAATCAATGCCTACTGTTGGAATTATATTTGTGTTAAATTATAGTAAGGATAGCATTCAATAATTATTTTAAAATGCATGAAAGCTTTTGATATTAAAAGCCACAATAAAAAAAAATCAATACTTGTTTTGAAACTTGAAATATAACTTGTATTATAAACACAGTACTCATGACGGTCAATCACCGTGGCCCTTCCTTGGAATTAAAACATTTCTCCAGTCCTAAAACAAGGGCAAGGAGCTTCTTCAAGAATAAATGATTCATTTGTGCATATCAGCAGGGTCAGCTATCATCAATGGAATTAACAGAATCTTCTACAGAAACCACTGTGTCAGCGTGCTACACAAGAAATGACCCCAATGGAAACTACTCTCAATACACAAAATATGAAGTTAACCCCAAGTGATTTCTTCCTACTTGTTAACCCTTTCAAGGCACTAATGCCTTGCAAAATGACTTTATAGGCCCAGTTCAGATTTAAAGCATGTTTTCCCCACCACAATATGTAGTCCACAGGAGTTAAAAAGTGTTAAGCATTCAGTAGCTTTTCTAGCCTTAATCATAGCATTAGCAATGATACCACATTAGAAAGGAATATTTAACAGTGAACACTTCAGAACAGCTTTGATCCTGTTAGTTTATTTGAAATTACCCAAACTGAACAAAAATCTATTGTCCCTCATGTTAGATAAATTGACTGCATTTGTTCTGCTGCATTCTAATCTATACAATAGTCCGGAAAGCTCTGCATCTCTGTTCAATTCCATACATTGTAACACAGAAGCTAAAAAGCAAAACCCCCAGTCAGGCTGGGGTGTGGGGTGGTGCTGAACAACCTCTTTGCTACTGAACGCAGGAAAGTTAAGGTACCAATCAGGTTTCTAAAACTCCCTTGAAAGATTGCAAATATTAGTGGATGACTGCTAGGATACTTTTCTACCTGGACTCAGAATGACTATAACAATGATACCCTGTGTCCTGGGAAAAATTAACTTTTGGTATCAGCTTTCATTCAGTGCTAGAAATGGACCCATCCTCATTTTACCTTTACTTTCAATACAGATTTGGGTGCAGTATTTCAAATATGGATCCATACATAATTATCACTAACCCTCAAATGCCTGATTCTTCAAGATTTAGGAGCTGCAGGGATTTCATACCGTAGACACGGACATGTCCTGATCACTTGTTAAAGACAGTTGGTCATGTAAAAAACACTTCCCCTCACATGGCAGGTTGAATGCCAAGGATACATACTCCTGAATGGCCCAATAAGAGACTGACTACCATTGATCTCACTCAAAATTAATGCAAAAAATCTCTCTACTTTATTTAATCAGTGCCCTAGAATGCTAAACATTCCGGCTATTGTACGAGAACACATCTTTCCGTACATATCTAGAGTATCACAGAAATTTGGACAAATGGAGGGTACGCGAGGAGATAAAAAGACAAAATAAAACTAACAGTTCTGGGGATTAGCTCTTACCTATGTCTAGTGCACTTGAACCAGTTCAGTATGTCAGTACATCTTGTATAATAGATCTGATCAAAAGGATGAGCGTAAGATTCCTGTACTGTCACAGCATAGCTAGGAGTAGACAGAAAAAGAAAGTGAAAGGCTGTTTGTTGTAACATGAAAAGCTTCAGTTCACTGTATATGCTACTCATCTAACTCCAGCATGAAAAATAATTAAATCAATAATCTTAGAAACTTTGGGCATTATCAGAAAAACAGAAAAAGGCTTCCTTCAAACACAGCTCTTCCTGAAATTTTTTGAAACATGTCTAGCTTGGGCTCCATAACTGAAATAGGCATAGAGATTTCAGTCTGAGTAATAAACCATTCCCTTCTGGAAAAAAACTAAAATTCATGGTAGTTTAGAAGGTGAAAAGGGCATTTGGTTAATTTGATAATGCAAATTTTAGAGGAGAAGAAACGTTATGTTTTTTAAATATCTCAGTTGACTTCTGCCTAGGACTGTTCATTTTTGCTTGTACTCCACAATGCTAGTAAGAGCTCATATTAACTTAGCACTGCTGCATTTTGCCAGCATGATGGGATGCTCACATTTTACCATTTTATGATGAAGTAGCATCATTACTTCAAATATTGGGTGCACCAATCAAATAGATAATTTGTATAAGGCTGAAGAGTGTTTATTTTTCTGCTGCACAAATTTAATCCTTTTCAGTTGTAGCAGAAATAACCTCTGAACTGTCTGAAAATTGTAACGTGCACTAACTGGAATGTAGATTTGGAACACTGACATACAGTTAGAATAGGACCTCCCTTTGTACAAAGGAAGGGATATAAACAAAAATGGGGCAAATTGATTAGAAATCAAAGAGCTCCAACAATACTAAGAATTCAGCAATCTCCTTCCCAAAACACTACTTATTCATACAACAGGTCCTGTATTAATTACTATGGTTATATTGAAAGTGTCTGGACCTCTCACATGATATAGGAACACTAATCTCATTGATTTGTTAGTGTCAGCCATTTTAGAACACTGTATTGCCCTAGAGTAAGTGTGTGCACTGCCTAAAAGACTCATAATCTCAGGTTCTGATCTGGAAACAAGTTCTACTTTATCAGATCTACAATATCTTTGGAGAATGATACTGAAATCATCCTAGGCAGGGTCAAAACCCAGGAATTAGATGCTTCAAGTCATTCATTATATTGATTGTTGATTTCCTTCTCATCAGTGGGGCTGCTGATGTGATTAAGCCCTGTGAGATTGCACCCGTAAGGTAATACCAAAATGTTTGCTTGGAGGGTCTGACTGGCTTGGAATCGAAGATTGGACTATTACTGCCCTGCTTGTCATGCCCTTTCCAGACAAGCCAAGATTCTACTAGATGTTGCTTTTGCCCTCTACTACAGTTTGCTGGGTTTGACAATAATGTTTTTACTCCTACTAATGCCAAATGTAAAATATTTACATTGCTCATTATTCAAGTAAAACAGTAACACTCACAGATCTTGATTATTATTTTATGATCCCGTTTGTTACCCAGCAATTGCCCTAACAATCTTTTCCCTTTGATTTATTAACATCTAAGTAACAAAGTCATCTTGGTCAGCACAACCAATCAATTTTGGTATTTAATTTTTGTTTCTCCTTGATTGGGTCTCTAGGTTGCTGACTTTCTTCAGACAAAATCAATATTTTATTCCTGTGCTCTGAATGCACTTCACCTCACAACGCAGACTGCAAAATTTTATTCCTGTATAGTCTTTGCTTTGCAATTGCATTACCTACAAACAGTTAATTCTCTCCTTAAGGCTTCTGAAATGAAAACACAGTACAATTAAAGTACGATTCCATTTTTGCTCTTGTTAAAGGGTTTATTTTGTTAAAGTGTACAGTAATTCATATTTGTGAGGAACTAAACCACAGACCAGAACTGGAAATTTAGCAAGTTAAACTTAGGAGTACAGGAACTTTAGCCTCTGCAAAGAGACCCCGCATGAATGCAAACCCTATCAAAGCTAAAGAGTTTCTCTGTACTCCTAAGAACTGCCCTGCACAGATCCACTTTTAAGACCAGGACACTGTAACAACAGAGAGAACAAGAATTATCAGGGCCTTTAATTCTCAGTGCTTTCATGCAGATACTCTTTGATGCTGACACAAATTTGGCAGATACAGCCACAAAGTTCAGGACATACAGAATAAGCCCACATGTTGCAGCAGAAAGCGCTTAAAACTTAGTTGAAATTTCTAATAGCCTTGCTCAACGCAACCAGAAAAAAAAGCAAGACAGAACAAGGCCACAGTTTCTCCAAATCTCTCCATGATAAATGAAAATGTGTCTCTGCATTCTTCTAGCTGAAACTGTGGAGGAGCTGAGAGACAGGTAACACAGGTGCACGGGGTCTACAGCTCTAGCTTTAGAGACAATTCTTTGGGATGATCCAAATCCTCAAAGGCACTCGGAAGCACTATTTCTGTCATGCAAATCCATGTCCTTTTGTGAGGCAGGGTGGTATTTAGCAAATTACAGTTCTTATTTTGCCTTTCAAATGTAAAAATCTGAAAAAGTGAGTAAAAAAAAAATTGGGATGTTATACGTTACCTTTCCCAATGACTACAAACATTTGGATCATCTGGGTTTAGGGACAGAGTAGTTTTGAGCAGAAAAGACAGAATAAGCCCTTTTAGAATCCACCTGAACAGCATATGTGCCACCATTGTTGTATCTAGATAAAGAAAAGAAAGTACAGCCATTAAAGACAATTTTGAAGAAAACATCCTTCTAGGTCTTTTAATCCTTTCTTTTGTGCAAATCTAAATACTGTGGAGTTATTTACAAACTGAAATACTTGAAAAAGCAATCAACTAAACAGTAAATTTTTTAAAAGTGCAAGTGCATTCTAAAAGGAATCTATATGTTTAAACCTACTAAATGATTGAGCTTGATGATTACTTGATGATTAAGCTACCCAAGATGATTGATGATTAAGCTACCCAAGATATTGATAGCCCCAGTGATTCTTCCAAAGAACATTTCTGATACTGATTATTTTTACAGCTGTCTGTCTGTACCGACAGAATACATAACTGAGGTACTAAGATAATCTATTCTTCCATCAACCTATAGGCAAATGGAAGAATACTCAAATACCCCCTTTGATTTATTTAAATGGGTTTTACATCTGTCAATATAGCAGGCTAGATCTGAGACATATGCTTATTATATGACTGAAAGAAAATCAATTCACTTTTCAACTCTTAGATGGGGAATCACCACTTAGAATGACAGAGGTCAATGTACTGGGTCACATTATGCAGAATGCTAAACACAAACCAAAAATATTTGCACTGAAGTTGGAAATAGATTATATAAAATTCATTAGGTGTGGTCTCTTCACCATCTTACAGTTCATCTATTAAATATGTACTGACTTATACCTACTTATTGCTCATTTGTGGCTTTGAAATCAAAGTTGTGGTGTTTGCCTAGAGACCCCCAGTGAGATCAGTCAAAAATACAAAAAAGATAGGAATTATGAGGCTGCTTTTAAACATAACTGCATCAGAGGTGTTAATCTGTTAAACATTGTCAGTAAAACATATTTTTAAATATCCATTTTAGGCATTTATATCATCACATAATCCACCATTCAAATCAAAAGTCCCATAAATTATTCCTGGCAACAAGATTGCCCTAAAAATAGATTGAATCTTCATATGATCATCTAAAAAACACATGGCTCATTGCCTCACAGTCCAGAACAGCAAAAGGGATGTTAAGGGGTTTGCTCTGCATGGCACTGATATATAGCCCAGCATAAAGAAGTCATCACAAAGCAGAATGAAGAGAAGAGAGATAGCCAGGAAAGCTGATCTGAAATTACCTCCTGATTCAAAGCCGCCTTAGCTAGTTCAAGGACACCATTGCCTTTAGTGGATTCGAAGTGAAGATCCCAGTGGGAGTAATAGCTCATCTTTTAAATTATTCCTAGTGCTCTGCTAAACCCAAAGATAGGTCTTAAGCCATGTAAGTCATATTAATGTTAATTAACATGATTTAATGTTAATGTTCCTCATGAAATGGATTTAAGTCTACAAGTGACCATTCTCTACCTGCAGGCTGTTTCAAAGTCCCATGGCAACAATGCAAAAGCTTACTCTGGAAATTAAGAGGGCTGACAAGACAAGGACGTGAGAGAGAGTTCTGTTTATTGAAAAGACATTCACTACACTTGTCCTAGACAGTACTACACATGGAGGAAAAGTGTCTTGAACAGCTGACCTGCAAGTGCTCATGGGACGCAAATTCAACAAAAGTAATGTTCAAAGCCCAGAGCTTGTTTGAGAGTAGAACTGAACTTTGTTTTAACACCACAGGTACCAATAGATGTGAAGTATCCAAGTATGAGGCTCAACAAAATGACAGACAACCCTTTAACCCCTCCAACAAAAATACCTTCAAAAGATGCCTTTAAAGTATTATACTAGCTACCATTTGAATAACACCAAAGTACAGAGGACAAGTTTTTCTGAGCACTGTATTTAGAGGGTGCAATTTACCCCCTTTTCTTCATTCTTCACACCTTTGATACATGGCAAGTCTGAACAAACAAGACTAGAGGAAAGCCTGCTTCTCTTGCTTTGACCGTTTCTAACAGAAACGGTCAAAGCAAGAGCAAGGCTAAACTGCTTAAGGAAATACAGTCTGTAAGAGAGGGGTTTTAAAATCAATACACAGTTCTGTGCTCAGTTTGCTAACTTCTTGAGGACATCAGCAGCCTGGGTTTATCCCTATATTAATTAGAGGCAGAAAGACAGCCTGACTTCTACCTAAAGAGAGCGAGCCATTTCACATTTAACTAAAGCAGCCCCATATCTGAATTCTGTAATTCTCAGAGTTCTCAATTTATTCTTAAGAAAACAATGTATCAGTTTAGTTTTTAAACCAAACAAACACCAACAAATTATTTATAAGCCTTAATAACACACAGAATATTTGTTTACAATGTATTTGAAAGAGGTTTAAAGTTGTTTTCTAAACTTTTCATGCTAATGCAATTTTATTATGTTTATAAATGAACCGTTTTGTGCAATTAATTTTCTAACTTTGTAAGTCAGTTCGTATATCAGAAACATCAAACTCTCCAAATACAGCAGAACCTCATTCGTCTCAAGTGTCTCTTTTTCTAACTGAAATGAAATATTTCACTTTGATCACTGTTAATAGAAAAGACTTCATACCAAAATGGAATGGTTGCTATTACAAGATTCAGAATAAAACTCTAAAAATAGGAGCACATATATTAAAAACCAACATCAAAAAAGAATCCAGTAATGACATCTAATACGGAAATTTTTTTTCAGCTTTTATCACTCCCCATAATACACACACTACATTTCCTGCATTCCTTTTAATATTTGGAACATACTCTCCAAGGAAGCAGCATCAGCCTTTCAGGGGGACAATGCCTGTAACTTAATTAAAGATATAGACAAATTACAGAAACATTTCCAGCATCTGCCACTGCCACTCTCCCAAGGATAGGCAGCCTTTTGCGCTTAACAAGAAAATAAATGACACATAGGTCCTCCATGCAGTCCCTAAATGGACTCTAACTTTTTGTCTCTCCAGGCCTGATTTTTCTTTTCAGGAATGAAAGAAGCCAATTTAGGGACAATTTGGCAGGAAAGAAGGTCTTTCAGTACAAAATACAATCTGGTAATTTTTCACAAGTGTCTCATTCTTTGTTAATTATAACTGATTAAGTTAGGTATGTGTTACTCCTTTAAGCCATTTTCATGTACCTTGCTCCTTTTTGAACTAATTTCAGTATTTCACCTTTTCACCTACTGGTCATTGGTTCCATCACAAAAGAAAGGAAACACACTTTCACTGTTAAGTTCCAAATCTTAGCTACAGAAAAACTAGTTGGTGGCAAGTCACTGATATATTTATCTGTGGATTCACTTTACAAAAACCTTTGTTGGGGAAACCGTGCTGGGGTTTGCAAAGAGACCAAAAGAGGCAACCAATACTTTATATTGGATTAAGTACATGAGTGTGGACAAAAGGAGGTTTGTTACTCTCTTTTCCAGTTTGTACAAAACAAGCTGAGGACAACAGCACCCCATAAGGTTAGGGCCTACATGCAGAGAAAATAAAACCCCAAAGAATCCTTGCTTGGTGAAGCAAGTGTCCCCTAAAGATTTCTCTGGGTGTTAAGGACCTGGTTTTGGCAATATTCCTGAAAGAGGACTAGCGCATAGTTTAGGTGGCTGGGAGAAAAAAAGAAAAACAAAACCAAAACCACAGATTAAATTTCTTCTTTGCTTCCTTGGCTGACAGACTAGAAAATTTAACTAAAAATGACCATCAGAGAATTTCCTGTTAGGGGCAGAAGCAGTGAAACATTTCATTTTGACATTTCTGTCATAAAATTTTTCATAATACGACTTTGACACGAAATTCAAGCAGAATTTTCAGTCCAAGACAAAGTTCTAAACTGAATTCCTTTCTCTCAATTTGGGATGAAATGAGTTCTAAACCAGGAAAAAAAAAAAAAAAAAAAAAAAAAAAAAAAAAAAGCCAAATACTAATTTGGTGTTCAGCTGTAGTTAGGAAAACATTTACAGAAGTGTTTTTCACTAGCATGCAATATTCTTAAATCCTTATATACTTTTGAAGATCATTCCTTTAGATGTCTAAATGTATATGCAGTCTATTAACCTCATCTGAATTTTCCCCCCAAATTTCCATGCAATGCATTTAACAAATAGCCATGTTAAAAAGTCTTACCCTCAAAGTGCTAAAATTCCTAATGGATCCTGTTTTTACAAACCATCAGCACATGAAGACACACAGTATGCTAACAGAATCGCAGAAGAAACCTCTTCCGAATTTGCTTGGCCCTGTGAGCAACAGAAAAACAGAAAACATTGGGTCAGAGAAAGTGTATTTGGGGGAGTGGAAACAAACTAAGGCAGAAATGAGATAAACCATTCTAAGCAATTACTTATCCTAAGATAATTGTGCGCTATCAGACTACAGAACACTACCCTGCTTTCAGCCATAGCAAGTGTCCAGGGAAGAGTGTGAGAAGATGGCTGGTAGGAACACAGCCCTTTTAAACTCTTTCTGGCTTCCAGCAATTTGCAACTTTGGGACTTCCTCAGCCACGAGTGGTATCTTTGTGTTTAATAGCATTTGATGGATTCTATTTCAATAATTTGTCTAATCACTTTTGATCCATTAAAATGCAAATATCAGGCCCCTAAATTTAGTGTCAACAGCATCCTGTGATGGTCTCACATCTTAGCCATTTACTGTATGAAATACTTCCTTTTGTTTTTCTGTCTGCCTCCTTAATTTCATTTGACACCTCCTTGCTCCTCTGTTGGAAATCAATCATTGATTCTCAGACTTTGTTTCTTATTACATAGAAAACATTTGATTTATATGTAGACTTTTTCTTCTGTAATACCCCAACAAGAAAATTCAGTTACTTTCAGGAAGTTTGATAAAAGACGTTGCAAAAGCCTTCTAAAAATCTAAATTGATTTTTTTGATCCACATGTTTACTTCAAAGAGTTTTAGCATTTTATGAAGGCTTTAGAATTCCATGGTGATTATTCATAAATGTATTCTATTTATCAAGAGGTTCCCCAATTCTGCTCTTAATTATAGTTTCTACCAAGTAGGAAAATCTAGGTACATGAAAATTAAAATGTATTCTAGTATTTGTGTGTAAGCAATTGAGGAAAATGCGAGAGAATAGTTAAGCCAAAAACCAAAAAGTTGGATTTCACCGAAGAAGCATTAAAGTGACTGAGTGTTTGCTGATTACACTATTTTAGTCTCTAAGTAGTAGCAAGCTTCCAACAAGCTGCCCTCTGTGGCATTCCTCCTTCTCATCCCATCTGAAATTTTCATGATAGTTTAGGCAAGGGATCATTTAAACACACACTTCATTTGGCTCTACATCAGATTTTGTTAGAAACAAGCTGTTATGAAAGCTAAATGAGGCCATGAGTTTCAAAACTGATCAGGATTTTTTGGATGCCTCCATTTATGATTAATAAATTGAGATACCATGAAAGGGCTGAATAATATGCAGAGCTCAGAATGCATGCTAAGAAACAGGTTGTTTTAATCTGGGCAGTCAAGAACTAAGCTGTTCAAACTCATAGCCACATCTAAAAATTGTTGCCATGACCAACAGAAATATTGTCAATGACAGGTTGTGGTTTTGTTTGTTTTTAATGAAAATTTAAAGCTGTTTTAAACCGACAAACATTTCCACAAAGGATCAGGTACAGAATACAAAAGCAATGACAATGTGATTCTTATCATCTGAGCACAGAGAAATTCAAGTGATAGAAGAACTAGCAGAAACACCAGACTATGCAGTGAGTTGCTGGGTTTCCTCTACTGACATCTTGCACGATTAATTCAGGAAGATAGTAGACAAGAAGCTGCCTCTGTTAACAAAAGATGATATTTCAGTTAACAGAGTCTATTTAAGCTCCTAGAAGTCATTGTACTGAGAGCAAGTTATTATCCCTTACAAGCAGGGCAAAACAACTGGTCTATAATCTGTGCTACAAACCCCATGCTGTCAGTCATATATTCAGCTTTTCCACGTTCTCCTTAAGCACTGCTCTCTCTGAGGTTTGTGTGCATCTCTGCCTGTGATGTCAGGGCAGTTCAATAGCTGGAAGTACCTGGAGCAGAAGTCACTACTATTCACAAATGTCCCCGATACCATTTCCAGACATCTGTCACCTGGAAGTGACACAGACAAGGGGATAAACAGAGCTGGCCAGGCCAGTACAGCTGCTTTTGACTTTCAGCAGGTTTCCTTCGCAGTATCTTGTGAAGGCCCACGGGCTCACGGCACAGGACAAGTTTGTACAGTTTTGTTCCTCAAAGAGACCAATCCCAGCAGTGGCACAAGCTAGGAACAGAGCAAGAAGATGCACAAAACTAGGATCTTTCTTACCTTACATGAGTTCATACAATGCGGACAAGCCTGTTCCAACTTTGTCCTTCTAGCCATAAGGGTAATGCCAATAAACATAAGCAAGAACCTTAACTTTTCAGGATAAAAGTATTCTGTGCTCTCTATGAAAGTTAACCATGCTCCTCAACCAAAGTTCATTACTGAAGTTACAGTGAATGTTGGGAAAGAAACAAATTTAACAATTCTAGGGTATTTTCTGTAATTAACATGACTTGGGAAGTAAAAGAATAAAAGCAAAATTTAGAGATTTTCATAGTTTATGGGGATGTCATTAAGGAACAGTATAAAGAGCTGCATCCTGAGTCCTATTTGCTAAGTCTCAGCAGCAGCCAACTCTGCTACACCATTCAGTGAAATAGGTGCTGTTAAGTACAAATAAAGGAACTAATTCCATTTCCTGAAATATTGGTTTAGAAGCTTTCTTTAAAAGAGTGGATAAATGCACTGGGGCCCTAACTGCTAGAGTGCCCTCATGACTCTCCCTTATATTGTTTGAACCACAGTTGCTCAGTTTTCCAAACCTGGGTGGGGGCTGACTTCAACGGGAATCAAATGCCCAAATATCTTAAGTTGCTTTACATTTCTAAACTCTAATATATATCGGCGTGAGTTGCAATTGCTACAGTGAGCATTGTTACAGTTTCATGGATATCATATGAAGTCTGAAGATCTGATTCAGCACTAAGCACTCTTATAAGATGACTTTGGGTCATTGGGAGCTTGGCTAGAGCAAAGCAGGAATAAATAATGAAGATCTTTTCAATGTATCAAATGTTATTTTTGGAAGCTCACGATTGTTCTTTCAGTGCTCTCAGAGGAAAACTGGGTCAAAATACCACAGAGACAGGCCACTAGGCAAGCAATCTAGGCAATTAGTTTAGTTACAGCTAATGAGGTATGTTTATCAAGACAAAGGCTGGTGTATGTGTCTAGGTTTCAGAGGACCTGAATTTAAATCACACTATCAAAGACTTAAGGTGTGACACTGGATTAGCAACGTGTCAGGGCTAGACTGACGTAGCTGAATTTCCACCCAAGTTCTGCATCTAGTATATTCTGTAGTCTAGCTCTGAGCCTTCAAAGGCAGCTAACCACCATACACCAGGCTTTGAAACTCTGGGTGAAATTTAGAACATGTCTCACTATCTTCCACAGGAAACAAGGGAAGAGGACTGACCAAGCTGTCAGGTGCTTTAAGAACAAGCCTACCGCAAACTGAAAAGTGATTTTAGATACTGCAACAACAATGTATAAACACGTGTCATTATCCATCCACTCTATGAGATCAACATCAACACACAAATAAATACAGACATTTATTTTATCAGTATTTACACAAACTCAATATTAATGCACGCTTGTGCAAAGTGCAAGTACTAATCCAAAAAGCTATTATTCATTACAACACTACATTTCTTTTTCTTAAATTATTGAATAGTTAATCAATAGTCCAGCAGAAATATAATGAAAATATTACATTAACAACACCTAAAAACATTGCTGAAACAGTGCCCAAATACAGAAAATTGCTGGCTCCTTTTCAGAAAGGTCAGCTTGGAAAAAAATTATCTGTGATTTTCTGCCCATAATTTTGTACTTGTACTCAACTACCAGTGTAAAATTGGAAGCCAGCCCTTTGAACATTTGGCCCTTTAAGTTATTAATCCAAACACAAGTCCACTGAAACGTTAACGTCCCTTGTAGTGCCTACGCCCTGAACTGGTCTTCCAAGCCCTGCCAGTTCGGACAGGGAGATGGCTGACATTCCACCAGCACTTTCTGCCAAGAGCAAGTCTGCGTTGGCAGGCTTCGAAGGCAAACTCCAGGTACCTTGCAGTATTTCAACAGAAGACAACCTCCTGCAAGCTAAGAAATCTTCCCGGGTCAGTCATCTCTGAACCTTCTCAGTTAAAACATGGTAAACAGGGAAAGTCAGAAAGAGCCACTTCATGTACTTGCCTGCTTAACCCTCCCACCCTGCTCTCACCGTCTGACCACTGCTGCATGGGGATGGAAGAGGAAGACAGCCAATGCCGTAGTGCCCCCCCCTGCTGATCCCAGTCTTCTTGCATAGTGGAATTTTAAAGCTGATGAAACTGTGTGGGAGTTGCATTCTCTACTGATTTAACAGTATATTTATATTCACTGTCCCATGCATATTTCAGATATTCCTTCACATACATTACTTCAGAAGAGAAAGTAAGCTGACACACATCAAAAGCTGATCTCCTGAGAACTCAAGTTAGCTTGCTTACATATAGCCACCCACCTAATCCATGTTCAAGATGTCAAACAATTACAACATATGCTTCCTTAGACACTTAGAGCAACAAAGACCTTATATCCCCAGAACACCCAGGATAAATAAAGCAACCTAAGTGTTACAGGCATGCCCAGATGACGAATAATATGTTTCTAAATATTTAGCTAAAATCTCCCAACCATTTATTCCAACAGAATTATTTTACAGCATTTAAAAAGTGCGCATGAAGTTGATCTGAAAATGGGAGTAACAAAAGCAATGAAATATAAGGATGTTCAATACACATGCAGTGAAATAAATTAAGTATGATTCTGTGAAAGTGCTGTGAAAGTCAGAAACAAAAGCACTGTTTGAAAATGTAGAATATCCTTTACAGTTATATTTTTAAAAATTACTTCTACTTGTCAAGCACAATTGGCCCCTTCTTTTTTGACTTCATTTATCTCAGAGGAAAATAAAATGAAACAAACAGCAAAAAAGTCCCAAGTACAGTGAACAGCTGAGCCAGGGACAAATTAAGTAACACAGATTGATGGCTGTTCATCTACAGCAATACTATCACATCCCAATGCTACATCTCATATTTCATTTAAAGACCCATATCTTCTTTTCCAGAAACAGTGCAG